CAAGAATTCCAAACTTTTCCACACACCGCTAAAATATAGGGGTACACGCGGTATCTCTTTTTTTCATTTGCAATACCAAAAATTACGTATCAGCGTAACATTTCACATAGATTCTAATTTGAGCGCTAATACTTGGCACGGAAAGCTGAAGCCAACGGCCTGATCTTAAGTCCTCCATGAGGACTGACCCTAATTAAAAAGCCATTCTGTTCGGCCAAGCGACAAGCTGCAGAGATAATTTGCAATGTTTAATATAATTGTTTTTAAGTTTGAGATGAACTTGTTATTAATCGCTTAAAGTTCATTGAAACGGTATCTGTTTGTATATCGATAGCGGCATACATATTCACTCTCTTCTCTTCACCCACTTCTTTTTGACCATCACCGTACACGACGTCCGACGTCCCCTGCACAATTGGGTTCTAGTTGAAAAAAAAAAAAAAAATTAAATTCTTTATATAGAAACGTGTGGATTTGGCAAAGCATTGGAAGCATTCTTATTTTGAGCAATTTTACGTAGGGGATTACTCTTCCTTCCTGAAATTTGGCATAGTCATAAAAGCATTCGAATAAAAGTTTGAATTTGATCTGACCACGAGGTTTTTTAGAGATCACTTCAACTTGTGCACATTTTTTCCAATGGTGATGATATTATCTATGCCAATTATAGGAGCTTGTTTAATTTTAAGCAATTAAGTAAAGCGTCTGTACCGACATGTGCTCCCTAGATTTTTTGTTTCTCATCGTTTATTTGCCTCTAAAATGACTTGACAATCTTTACAAAAGTTTTATTATAAGCGATCGAATATTAGCAACAAGCGAATTTTTTCTAAAGTTACAAGTTAAATGAAAATTTTAATGTGCTCATCCGCAAAGTGTTTGAATCAACTCAAACAAAATGCACACCATACAGTAACTAAAAGAACAACAGCCATAACAACAGCGAAATCATTAACGAATAAATAAATAAACAATCAAAACAGAAACAAAGAAAATATAAAACAAGTAAGAACATTATAGCCGGACAAGACTGGCTATTAGGTACCGTAGACCACTTCGCCTAATAGCAAACAAAAAAATAATTTTTTGTTTTTGGGTAATTTTCATGAAAGCCGTCATATTGGAGGATATGGAGGATACTGGAAATTTAGGAAAATTAATCTACCTGTCAGAGGTCTTATTATTGTCTAGTTTCTTCTACAGAAGCGTTTGATTTCATGACAGCCCCTATATAGGACGCTGGGATCCATTACCTATGAGGCCAAATTTTCATCATGAAATTGAAATATTGAAAATAATACCTTTCCACAGCCTATGCAGCCTTATTTTTCACTAAAATTAAAAATAATAGAGTTACGCAGTCCAAATTTTATACGGATAATTTTTAACTCAAATTATTATTATGAACGTTCTTTTGTTAAGAAATATTAAAAATTAAGCTTTTTTACGATATAAAGATTCAGTTTGTTTAGGGCTTCAAACAATGTCCCATCCTATCTAACGTTTTCACATCCAATATAAAAGTACTGTTACTAAGTGATTAAGTAAGACTGAACGAAATTCTGAATATTACACTGTTTTTTTTTTTTCAATATGTGGCGTGGTCGAAAAAATTTTCAATAGCTTTCGTTCTTGGCCAAAAACACGTTAGTATTCTCAATTTCGTCAAATTATCCCGAAAATTGAGACGTATAGGTTCAACTCAAAAATAGATGGGCAGACATTAAACGAGCACTCAAGCTTGGATTATATTCTGAAACGATCGGTATAAAAAAAGATGACTGGCTCTATTTCAAGTCCGCAAGTTACGTACGTCCGCAAAAATTTAATATACTCACAGTAGTGTGGAGAGTAACAAGATAGAAGATTATGTTCGCCTACCTTACCGAATCTTCTATTCCCACGAAAATTTTTATACTCTACAATATTGAGTGAAAATGGCTGAATTTTTCCTTTTTTTTCCATTGTTATGCAAGATACGTGGAAATTTTTATCATTCGTCGACCGTATTAGATGAGTAATGAGAAAAAAAATCCAGAATGAGAGAGAGAGATTAATGTTGCGCTGTAAATGTGTCCTTTGTTCAATTTGGTCCCATTTTCATTGTTTTCGCTAAATATGCAGTCGATGGTTGCATTTTTGCGGCCAACGAAATCAGTCTCGTAGACATTAAACAGACGGGTCGGATAGGCAGAAGAACAGGCGGACAGATCGAGATGCTTAAATCAATTCAGAATTTGATGCTGATCACTAATGCTGTTTACATACCTTTGACGATGTGTGGTGTAATGCTCTATCCTGAGTGTTACAAACGTTTTAACAAAATGAATAAACCTTTCACTCTGCGGCGTGATGGGTATAGAAAAAGTTAAATGAATTTTTAAAGTGCTAAGATATACATCTCTCTCTCTATCTCTCTCTCTCTCTCTCTCTCTCTCTCTCTCTCTCTCTCTCTAACGTAAAAAGAAATACATACATAGATTTGCACATAGACAGATTGTCGTATATAAGTCACAAGTGTTGTGTACGCGTATACGATAGGTTTTTCGCACTTGACCTTGATAATAAAAAAATTCCAATGAAAACGTTTTTATTTAGTTTGCGTCTCTTAACAAAAAAAAAAAAAAAAAAAAAAAAAATGCAAAAAACAAAAAACAAAATCAAAAACAAACACATTTTTTAAATGCTTGCAAAAGATGTGAAACATGGTCGATAATATATATAAATAATATGTTTGTGTATGTGTAAAAATATATATTTAATTTAATTTAATTCAATTTCACTTTTAATTTATATCAATTAATTTGTTTTACTTTAATACTCAATTAAAGCTCATCATCCATAAATTGTTAAGTTTTGTTTGTTTGTTTGTTTGTTTTATTGTCGATAAGAGATGCTTGTCTTGCTTTTGTATTTAATGCACGTGTCCGTGTATATGCGAGTACATTGATAAGCTTTTAATACTCTCATCACACGTTTAATAGGTTCCTAAGTTTATCGTCTAGCTTGTAACTAATTAACTCTATATATATATATATATATATGAAATGATTGTTTAACGCTCTCACCCCTGTTGCCAAGGGCCCGTTACCAGTTCGAATTTATTTATGTAAGAGCACATTTTTTTTATACGTTTTGTATTAAATTTTCTCTTTTATATAAGTCTAACTATTACGAAACACTGAAAATCTCTCACACTTTTCATATACACGTTAGTGCAAAGACGTTTATACCGATAAGTCGAATGAATCCTGCACAATAAGTCTTGTGCCATATTAAAAGCATTTCAATTCATTCAATTTCATCTTTGTTATCTATCGTTTATTAATGAGGCTTTCTTTAAATCACATTTACTTACGAAATACATATTATTTTTATTATTGCTAATATTATTATTATTATTATTATTATTATTATTATTATTATTTTTATTCCAGTGCAGTTTTCTCAAACATATTATATATTTAATAATAGCTTTCAAGTTAAATCAACCAGAATATGGGTATTTTAAGATTCATGACGTTCTTTCTCTATGCGCTCATTCCAGCCTAACCTAATGGCAACTAACTAACTACCTGACTTGTGCTATGCTTGTTGAGATTAAAAGTATAAATTTTACGATTTGTAAGATTCTTTGTAACTTGACATAAGAGGAGATGGCATAAAATATTTATAGATTATCAAGTTAACTGCAAAATAAAAAAAAAAGTAGTTGAGCAAGGAAAGCGACAGTTTCGGGAAGGAAGTTATAAATGCTGTTTATTCAAACGGGAAATTGAAAATTCAATTAAAATCTATTTCTCATCGGCCTTCGCATCATTGGCATGGCATCATGGCTACAAATTGTGGGTACAATGGAAAAAGGAAAACCTTTGTCTGAAGTCTTTCGACATTCGCTCTGGTTAATTGGATTGGATTCGAATTGATTTGAGATATGTGCAGCCTAATTGAAGTGAACTGGTTACATTTTCGTCAAATCATTTATCATTTCGTCGCATCTTCTTTGCTTTTCATATTTCCGTTTTTTATTACAAACATTGTCAGTTTTATGCTTAAATGTACAACAAACACGAGTTGCTTCATACAAACTATACTATGAATGGATCATAAACGAAAATAAAATGTAACGAAGTGGTGAACGGCGACGGGAGTATGGGTAATTTGAGACGAGTAAACTGATTGGTGCCAAAAGCATATCACAGCTATTCGTATCTAGCATCCCGGAGAAGGAGTTAAACAAGAAAAATTTAATAGAGAATTGGATGGCGCTGGATTTGTTCAAGACTGCCTTAAGAAATGTGTGTTTGAGATGATTTTGTCATTACATATGGAAAAAGAAACAGCAATCTAAGCGGCAACCGGAAGCCAGCCGCCAGCCGCCAGCACTGAAATAATTTAAGTCTTGCTCACTTTTTTTGTAAACCTTTGAATTACCTTTCGAACTATTGATTGTCTTCTAAATCAATCAAAGGATTAAGTGAAGAGTGATTTCCAGTTTCAGAGTTGAAATGTAAAATTTACGAAACTATATTTCAACTGAGTGAGCAACTAAACTTATTCTTCTTAAAATTTGGCGAATGGGGAAAACTAAATTTTCTTAGGTTTAGTGAGCAGCGAAATTAATTTGTTGCAGGCTTGGCTTGAATAGTTAATATACTCTTTCCCTAGCCATAGTCAGTCTTAGCGAAGAGCGAACCGATTCTTCCGTTCACCTAGCGAAAAGTAATATTTGTCTGTCCTAAACCTAGCAAGCAGTGAAACGAATTTTTCCTTACGTTCAACAAGTATCGAGCCTAAGCCGCATTGGAACTAGCGAACAGCCAAAAAAAAAAATTTTGAAATGACATTTATACGCGCACCTATATGGCAACAGTGGTGTTAGATGCATTAGTTTTTCTCTCCGGCGACTATATTAATAATGATACCGTTCGGTTACATGCAAATCAATGTTGTGCGCTCAGCTTCTTTACATATGTGAAATTTTTGTCTTAAATGCATGGTTTTTTTTGTTTTTTTTTAAATTTTCAATATACTTTAAAAATATTTCAGCGTACACACACAACTTATTTTTAAACCGATAATAGAAAGTTTATTAACGTAATATAATTAGTTTTGTATACATACCTCAGACATTTTTCGTATTTCTCTTATATAATTTTATTTCATTAGCATATAAGAGAAAACGTTTTTTCTCATGTATTTCTTATTTTTATGTTATTTTTGAATCGAATCAAACTTTGAAATAACATTCGATGATAGAAACAGGAACTTAAGTTTTTGTGTTAACTCTTCCATTTAATCATTCCATCCTGTTTACTTTGAAGTATTTATTGTATTTTGTAAACAAAGTTTGATGATATAGTTCGCTTTATTTGATTATTAAAATTTTTATTGTGTTTAATCAAATAGAAATGCATTTTGATTTTTATTTCATTTACACTGACCGGCATTATACTTTGTTCAGCAACTGAAAATAAATTAATAAAATAGAAATGAAAAAATAATAAAAAAAAAAATACGAAAATGAATAATTGATTTCATATAGAAACAGATACTCTATCCATTCACTAAGTTATTGAAAAATGCTTATTGTTTCTTAATTAAGTTGCAATACTTTTTTCTCATCAATCGCTTAACGTTTGGTTGCATCGGTTTCATCCAGGAATAGTGTAAATATTTCAATGTTCAATGCTTAATTACTCTTCTGTCATTTAAAACATGCACGCAGAAAGCCGTACACCGATCTCGGTGTAGATCAGGCATGGGTGATCATCGTCCCATTAAAAATTTCAAATAATTCTATTTGCTCGCATATAGCACATAATTTCATCTTGTTTTGACTCCTGTCGTTATATAACAATTAAAATTGGCCCGTCGATTAAAAAAGTTACCCATCCCTGGCTTAAATCGCATATATATCAACGCATATAAGGCAGTATTTCGGGTCTTCCGTTCCGCTTTTTCGCGTCTTTGATAAAGCATACAAACACACACAAGCTAGAAAAGCGTTGACTCCAGGAGCTAAATACATGCTCGATAAATGTTAGCAATGGAATGACTTTTGTTTTTTTGTGTTTCTCTTTGTCTCCTTTTTCATTTAATATGATCATTCATTTAGAAGGGATTGTGTACCCAAGAAGTGGGGAAAAGCAGAAAAACTTAGAGGAACTGGACAACTTTCACTTTAGCTCTGAGAGATCAAGTATGGAGCATCAAGGTTTTGAATCCTCCAACACTGACTTGCTTGAGTTGCGATCCTCACCTACTCGGTGACTCATCCAAATCAAGAGTAAACATTCTGTGCGGAATAAATGCTCGACATGTCAGATGGCAAATGAAGAGGATCTTTCTCATTAAACTTTAACAAACTGGGACAGTATACGCATATGTATATGTTAAGTAATACCAGCTATACAAATTCCAAATTAAGGCTTTCTACTTGCTTCTATTGCGAAAATGCTTGTTCACAGATTATGTCTGTTTTTAAATCTAATTTTCGGCCAGCAAGTCAATTTACAAAACTCATGTTTTAAGTTCTCTAGCTTCAATTTACGTCCACAGTAGTTTGAATAACAGACAGATAAAAGTGGCCAAGTCGATTAAATATTTCACGTTTTTCAAACATATGCACTACAAAATCTCGAATCGAGGCTTTTTATACCATCTAGAATGGATATGGAAAATCTAATGTACATCCGTGATATTGATTCGACAATAATGATATGAAGCTGATTGCAAATATATATCCTCTATATATTAATGTAAGAATAGTTTTTATATAACTATAAGTAGTTACGTCTACTATTACGAAAATAGTTATGATTTTAAGAAAAGCTAAATGATTTAAAATATTTTACATATTTCAGTGCAAAGATTATAATTGAAATGCTTTCGATTTTCCGGCTTTCTCTTGAGAATGCTTCTCTACAAGTGTGAGTGAATTTCGGCATAAATTGCGCATACTTTAATATTCCCCTTGCGTTTGAACAAAATAATAATGCGGCGATAAAACTTTACCAAATTTGATCTCCACCTTTGACAATACCAACATCAAAGTAACCGGTAAACGATAAAAATCGACTCGACATTTAAATGATGATGTTTTCAATTTCTTCTTCAAGTCTTGACATATAGCGAAATGGCAAAATAGGATAATTGTATTTCAAATTTCGTGCGTCGCATGTCAACGGATTTCACTCAGTTAGCAATGCGAATGTGCAGCTAGTATACCCCTATCCATATTCACAAAGTATTAAGCAATTAAAAAAAAACTTGATTCATTTATTAGTATCAACAGTTTTATAGCAACCTATATAAATATCTATCTAGGTATACGATATCTATGCGTAGGCATATAATTCATCTTAAATCCTGCTCATGTAACATGATTATATCGGCCAATGCTCCGCAATAAATGAAGTGCTGGCCACTCTAGTAATTATTCGCTTACCCATTCAAATGTCAAAGAAGTAAATATAAGTCTTATACATAATTGCTTTAAATGCCAATTATTAAGTTGACGGGTTGCACAAGAAAATTTACAATACCATCATCAGCACTACTCTTCCATTAACCCTCAATTAACTCCACCTTTATATCCAACTAATGTTGAGAAAATGAAGATCCAAATATTTTCGAGAATTCGCCTTGGTCATACAATTGCAATTCACCAATGGATCTTGAAGAAGTCTTCTCCCCCAATCTGCTGTTGTGGACAAACTCTTACTATAAAGCACATTCTCTGCGACTGCCTTAACTTTTACTTGGCTAGAAGTATTGCATTTGGAACGATTAGCCCTTTGGACATTCTACAATCAGCTTCAGAAGAGAATATCAATTTAATATATTACTTTTTTAATACTACTAAGCTCATTATCTAATATCCATTTATTAAAATTAGACCCGATAGCGTGTGTTGCTAGTGCTCAATGTCTTTTTTTTAGTCTAAGAATTTATTTCATTAGTCTAAAATTATAATAATAATAATAATAATAAGTTGACGGGTTCATTTATTTAAATATGGCAGTGAACCTGCCCTCGCCTTCCCCCAAATTAACTTTGATCTCATAACCGTCTCCACGTTTTTAATAGAAAGATATTAGGACGAATCTTGCGGACTGGATTCTACATTTTCCTTTATATACATGTGTATATATATATATATATATAGAGAGAGAGAGAGACCGACAGCTAATATTTCTTACGAAACAGAAAAAACGATTCTTTAGTTCGGTACTTTTGAGACTTGCTTTAAATTACGCAACAACCAACAAATTCCCTTAAGTTTGTTTTTTTCTACGGGGGGTGTTGCATATAACCACACAAACTTAATATACGTTTGTATCATACCATAAGTGGTGTAGGTTATAAAAATGACAAATGTATATATATATATATATATATATATATATGTATATATATTTACAATAGAATATTTCTTATTGACCTTTCCTCATTTTAAGAAATTATAGACTAAAAAAAAAAAAAATTTTATCTTTGCTACGCACGACGACATATATGTATTATAAGATTAATGAAAAAACTGCATTTTAGCATAACTTGACAAATAAACAAATGCAAGGGAAACTATTAATTAAAACCGCAACAGTAACTGGTTAGAAATGCATTCAATCATACGATGAAATGTTAATTTATAGTGATAATGACTTAGATAGAATATATATTTATTTTTATTTTGTTTGTAACCTTCGTATAAAAAAAAAAAAATTTTTTTTTAGAAAAATTGTTTATTAATTTAATATTTGCTAATGTCATTATAATCTTCTTATCAGTTTTTATGCACTTGCATATCAGTTAAAGTGAAACAACGGTTAAGTTAACGCGAAAATTGTAGCAGTGCTAGGGCCGTTCATGAATATTATTAACTAACTATTCACACTTGGACAATATCTGAGAAGCAAATAAAATGAATTTATAAGGGAAATTCAACATTTTAAAGGTACGAAACGGGGACGACCTTATGAATTTATTTATATTGGCAAAAGAAATGCAACAACATGTTTGCAAATTTAAGCTTTCTTTTCCAATTTGTGTCCGATCATTTAATATGTTAATTACAGATGAAGACGTGATCGAATAAAGTTTCTTCGCTAAGTTAGCTTTAAGTGTTATGTTAGTCAAAGACCTGGTATGAATTAGGAACCAAGAAACTGTTAACAAAATGCAAATAATGTATATTTGATAAAGACATGTTCTCTGTTCGCGTAATATCGCAGCCATGTTCTTCAATCAATTTGGCTCATTTTCAATATCAGCTTCAATACCCATCACTGGAGGATGAGAGAGGTACATGCATTACGTTAAAACGTTTGCAACGCTCAGGAGAGAGCTTTCTAAACCCCACATATATGTATCCATGATCAGCGTCAAATTCCGAATCGATTTAATCATGTCCGTCTGACTGTCTGCGTAAACATCGGTTGTAAACATCCTTCGGGCCGAAAAAATGAAATTATCAACTTCAAATATCGCAAAAACGTTAAAAGTCCTTGCATGCAAGCTGGTATTGAAAATGAGTCAAATTGGTCGAAGACCACTCCTCCGCCAGTATTATGCAGGCAGAGAATATCTCTGTATTTCAAAAGAAATAAAAAATTGTTTTTTTTGCGCAAAAATTTGAACATTTTAAAAATTTTGGACCGTGCAGACCTAACTTTCTTTTTATACAATAGTTTAAAGGGAAAAAAATCTCTTTTTACACGAATTGTTTTATTTTAACGCGATTTTCAATATTCTATTCTATGATAATTTTTTGCGTATCTCCTGAATGAATTTTTCTGATGAATATATTCTTTAAAGTTTCTATGAATTTTTTGCATTCTCACTTCTCACAAGTTTGGATTGGCACTTCGCATTACATTTTTCACAATTCAATTAGATTGCGTGCATTATATGCGTATGGGAGCAGAATATCCCGAATTATGCATAGAGCCAGGATTTAATATATGTTTCACCGAATTTCGTTCGTCTTTCAAAATATAATTTTTTTTTTTTTTATAATATGTTTAATCAATTAGAATTAGAAACAAATTGATAAACGAATTCTAACAGGAATTTTTTTTGATATTGGTTTTTGCACTTTTCAGTTGCTTTTTTAGTTGTGCAACCAATCTACTACTTTTCTAGTTAGCCATCTTATGTCTTTTTTAATATGGAGAAAGAGAATTAGGCGTAATTATCTACGATTGAATTAAGAAATGTTAAAACTTTCTTTTTTCTCGTTTTCAATTCTCTATGGACTGCTATCTTTCATGCGCGTTATGTGGTATAGCTTCGCAGAGACGGTTAGTGTTGCGCGATTCGAACAGCTACCCGTCCCGAGACCCGCTGTTAACGTTTTCTCCCACCTATCATCATATATGTGAAAGGTACTTAGGCGCCCTCGTGTGACAGAGACATCAATAATAATAATAATAATAATAATAATTTAATAAAGTCAATCGTCAA